TGGGTTTAGGTGCCCTTTTTACTTAGTTCTTTTTTAAAAGAAAAGAAAGTTGAGATCCTTTTTATTAAATGATAGGAAAAGATATCTACTTTACAAAAAAAAAGTTGCAAAAAATAAATTTTAAGCTTGCAAAAAGTGGTCAGTGTATAATTACAAGTTTCTAATCAAATAATGTATGATAGTTAATCACAGGTTTAATTTTTATAGTTTAAACCGCAATGTCATCAATATTAATTTCATCTTACAACAACAAACTAGATATAAAGGGGCTCCTTCTGAGTGCTTCCTCCAAGCCCCATCCCAAACTAAGCCAAAGTAAGAAAACAAGCAAGATACTTGAGTTATTTTTAAAAATAAAAGGAAACTTCACAATTTTAAGGTCTCCTAAATTCTAAGGAAAAGATGTTATTTATTTTTCTTTTAGGGAAGTGTTAAATCTTATTTAAAGTACCACAGCAAACTGTAATGTTTAATAAATCAAAACCACTGCCTTGGACTTGGGATTTAAGCAACTTTCCCAATGCAGTAGTATCAAAAGAAAAGACAACACACGGGATTTTAATTAATTCTTAAAGAAGAGGAGAAATTCCTCTTAGACTATCTGAAGCAAGCAGCTGTAAGGGAACCCATTCCACCTTCCTGACTCACTCCCAATACCAACTCCCTCACATTTTCCACTGTGGCCTCCGGACATGTCCCGACTGTAAACAAGATCTCCTACACCCTGAATCTCCAGTCTCTACCTCTGTCTGAAAGGAAAACCAACCCCTTACCTGGGAAACAGTTTCCCTGGCAACCCTGAAGAGTGAAAGCTATTTATTCTCCCAGACTGTATGAATTTCCCTACCTTTCTTAGGCAAATGTCCTTGCCCTACTTAGAAGCCCAGAATTAAAGGCAGTATCACCATTCCTCCTTTTATGTATCCATCCAACAAATATGTACTAGTGCCTGCTGTGTGCCAGGCTATATGGCTAAATCCTCACAGAGATCAAAATCCACTGAGACAAATAATTACACACACAAAAATAATTGCTATTATGAAAGAAAAGAATAAAGTATATGAGAAAATGAGTACCATTTAGTCAAGCAAAGAGTGGGAGGGGGAAGCATTTCAAGATGAGAAAAGAAAAATGAACTCGATTTTCAAGGAACAAAGTTCAGCTGGACTTAGAGGGTGAGGAGGAGGGTGGTATGAGAGCTGGCGAGGTGTGCAGGGCCTCGAGGCCATGAACAAGAGGCCAGAACATGCAGGGCCTTGAGGGTGATATTGAGGACTTTGGATTTGATTCTAAATGCGACCATTGTTACGTTTTTAGAACTTCATTCCTTATCACAGTCATCTACTTATCAGCTCACATTTAATCAGGATGCTTGTTCTTCAGCTCCACCCCCAATTCCTTCCAGATCTTAGGTAGTTTCAACATCCAAGACTTCTTAGTTACTCAATATCCTGGACTCCAGGGACCTCATCTGCAACTCAGGCAGGCTTCTGCTTACTTTTTCCTTGTCCAAAACTACGCCACCTCCAAAAACCCAATTCCAATATTTCATTCTCAGACCATAGCCTCTCACCAATTCTTCCACTCCCCATAGCTACCAGGTCTGTCCTCCAACCTTTAAAATTTTATCTGAATAGAAAAAAATGGAAAAGCAACACAATTTTATTAGAATAAGTAAAAAATTATTACAATTTCTCCCATCCCCACCCAGGCATTTAGCATTCAGTCTTCTCTATACCTGTCTCCATGCTGATACCCACATGTGCGAACTTATAAACACAAGAGATACTTGTTTGATCACAGAAGGTGAATCGTGCTGAATACATAATTCTGTGACTTTTCTTAACCTAGAAAGAAAAAGTCTTAAGCCAGCAAACATACAGATTGAATTCATTCTTTAAATTACTGCACATCATTCAAGGTACAGATGCTGCCTGTAGGTCCCCTCCATAGGGGACTTCTCTTGTTTTCTGCAACAAACTTGCTGACCCTGGACAACCTTGAAGTGTGCTCTTCAGGGGAACAAACTGCTCCCGTTTTTAGAGTTGGGAAAAGACCTCATGCACGCAACTGAAAAAGTCTGGGAGCCGAATGATTTCTCATAGCACTGCCACAGACGGTAACAGGTCTCAGGTCCCCGAGAACTAAAGCCATCACGCCTTTCACCACTTGGTTTGCTTCTGGCCAAGAAATATGCAAGGCAGCCTGCTGGCGGGTACTGAGGGAAGGCAAGGATAATTAAAACTCACTTACGTGGCTTGGAAAGAAAAGATGGCCAGAACAGAAACCAGAGATGCCTACTGACGTGGAACCAATGGAAGAAACACAAGAGAATTTTAATGAAAATACAATGGAATTACACACTACAAATGAACACTTTCAGGAGCAACAAGAAGATTTAATTAGAAGTTCAATATCGAACAGAAAAAAGAGAATGACTGCCCATGAGAACCAAATTAGTGGCGAGAAAAACCAGGCAGAAGAAACCAAGAAACTCAGGGACTGATACCATGAGAAAAAAGGCTAGTTGCGTGGAGGTCAGATGCAGCAGATGAAACAAGGTGGAGAAAAGGAACATGTGGAGAGGTAACTGTCATAGAGTCACCAGGGCACTGACTCTGGGCTGCCCTGACACTGAGTTTGGTTCTCATACCAGACAGCCCAACATCTGCTTGACGCCTCCCATGGAAACATTAAGCACAGAGACTGTTCAAGTTCTTCTAGGGTCTGGTAAACTTCCTTTGTCATCCTGTGTCACTAGTGTTTCAGTACCAACCTTAGGGACTTCGCAGGAGTCTTTTCCTGTCTAGTCTATCTAAAACACTGCAGATACCAATTTTTAAATGCCATATGCACAAATTACTTTGCTACAAATTAAAAACATAAAAAAGGGAATGTATTCATAGGTGAGGTAAATGCATGACTGTTGAACAAAAACATTACCTTTATTTATGAAATACATACAAAAGTACTATGGTCATAGTTAAGAGCAGAGACTTAGATGCCTGTCGCTTACTAGCTGTGTGTCTTTGGACAAGTTACTTAATCTTTATGTGTTTTGGTTTCCTGAAAAGTAAATGGGGAAAAAAGTTAATAGCACTTATCTCATCAGGCATAAAGATTAAATGAGGTAACGTATAAACCAAGACCAGAACTTTGTCTGGCACTGAGTAGTTCTCAAATAATAGTGAGCCGCGGCTGGGCGGCTGCGCTTCCACTACTTGCAAGGTGGAAACAGCCCTGTACACAGAACTCTAATTTTGGAATCAGAAGACTTTAGTTCAAATGCTGACTTTAAAACTTAAATGTTTTATACCACAACCATGGTGGTTGCGTATTTCCATATCTATGCTTACATGTTTTCATATCTAAAACTGGAATATGAAATACATCTATCCATCCACAAACATCAACTGAGTATCTACTATATACCAAATATTGCTTAGTAGCTGAAACAGAAATATGAATAAAATAGAGTTCTACCCTAAGGAGCTCACAGTCTAGTGAATGATATTCAAGAACCTTAGTTTCCTTCCACCTAAGTTTTTCTTAAGGCTCCCTTTGCTTTAGTAGATGAAGGACGGACCACACAGGTCAAGCATGTGTCTTAGGACCATAAGAACTATGATTAAAAAAAAACAAAACACACAACACTAAAATTGTTAGCAAATGCTAGGGGGAAAAAAATGCAGTGAGTTTCTAAAATTACTATATTTTGCTATTTTAGGGAAAATACTGTGAAACAGTTGGGTCACTGGGGAGTACGCCCCTGCAGATGAAAAACAGAGGTCTTAGGGGTGAGGAGGCCAGAAGCAGCGGAGTCCCATTCCTGATCAGAGAAGATAAAACATCCTGGAGAGACTGAGCTTTGTTTGTAGGCTATCCTGCACAGTACCCAACTTGCCTCTTTGAATGATCTTTTGAGACTTGGGTGTCCTTTGAATTAACGGCTCTCAAGTCACTGTCTGAGAGGAATCACTATTACATGATCCCTTGTCAACAACCTCCATCCCCTTTCAGAGCACCCTGCCTTGGCACACACAGCGGGAGATTATGGGTAGCAAGTCCTTCGTATCTCCTCTACGTCATCTCAGAAATAAAGACCTATCCTAAAGCTTCTTATTGGGTGTGCTTATTTTGATCATCTCATGTGAGTTGGCCCTGGGACAACGTGTTTTCAAATGTCAGTTTGCACTTAATAGCTATAACTTTAAATTGTGTATTTAAAACCTCATAGAAATTATAATGACATCTTAGCATATATTTGAAACAATATTAAGTACATCGAGACATGGGATATCTTTAGAAAGTATGTAAATAAGCCATTATTAAAAATTAATATCCAGAATATTTTCCTTTATTATATTAATACATATATAGCATCACAATGTAAAACAATGGTATTATTTAAAATCATGTATTTGGCTCATAATTAGCATAGATTTATTACAGATTCACTTGGACGGTGGCCACAGACACACAAAGAGACTCTGGCTTATTTTGCTTATGTGTAAAAAATATTCTAGCCACGGCTATTGTGGCTCAGTGGATTGAGCACCAGCCTGCAAACAAAAGGGTCACTGGTTCGATTCCCAGTCAGGGCACATGCCTGGGATGCAGGCCAGGTCCCTAGCTGGGGCGTGTGAGAGGCAACCACACATTGATGTTTCTCTCTCTCCCTCTTTTTCTCCCTCCCTTCCCCTCTCTATAAAAATAAATAAAATAAAAATCTTTAAAAATAATTCTAAAAACCAATATGATTTAAACAGAAATCAATCCAGAGCTAAGTGAAAATTATCCAGCAAAAGAAAGAATGTGAACATCCATCTTATTTTAAGTTTTAATTGAATAATAAATTATGTTTCAAAAATCTTTACATAAAAATTCTAATACCACCATCCACAAATCATAAAGTATAACAACAGATAGTATTTTTTTACCTAATCACTTTTTAGACTCAGAGTAAAAATGTATTGCTTACAGAAAATAAATTCAATAATTTATCCAAACATTGTTACATAAGAAGTTTTAAGAAACTGTAAATAATTCTTAATACTCTCATTTTGATTCTCCGACTTTTCAAGACTATGTTGTATTTCTTTCAAACATACTTCCTGATGTTGTGCTTTCTAAATAAAAAAAGAAATAAAGACAATCAATAATGACTTTCATATTAAAGGATAAATATAATATAAAATTTATATATACAATATTTGACATGATTTTAATTTTTTAAAAGAGTCCTAACATCAAATGTGTTTCTTAAAATCCAGAATGACTAAAACACATATATGGTTGATATTTACTGTGATATAATTTGTTGTAAAACACATTCACTTAACCCCAAATTATTACATATTTAACATGGTTAACATAATACACAGATCTTATTTAAAACTGTTGTAATTAATTTCTCTCACATTTAACACATTTTACTACTAGTTTTTGCCATTTTTCTCTGCCTAAAAATTCAGATTTTATACCATTAAAATTAATTTTGCTGTCTTAAAAATGGACAAGATTCTAGTTTTTATACTATAAACATTTTGCTTTTAGAATCCTTAATAAAAAGAACTCAATATTATAGGTGTTCTTTATTTGAAGAAAAAATTTAAAACCTAATATATATTTTTTAATATTCAGTTCTTATAAATTTCCAAGTAGATCTGTTCACTGAAAATATTTTAGACAGACAGGCTGCAAATAATAGTTAGCTTCAACTAAAATGTAGGCACCTTGAGAAGAAAAATGTTTTATCTCCCTCTCATCAGGTATTCAATAGTACCTGACACCTTCTGACACTAAGCAATGCTCAGTGTTCCTCAGGTAAAGTAGGCTGGTATGAAGCAATGTGCTGGGCGGGGCTGCACAGAGTCACAGAACAAATACAGTGAGTCTTTGTAGAAAATGAATTTTACTCAGCATTGTGGAGGGAAAAGTACTAATACAAACACACATATCGTTGGGCAGAATGCAAAATGTGCATACATTCTAGGACAACATGTAAGACTCCAAATTCATGTCAGGTTTCAGGAAGGTTGGCCTGAGTCTGTGCATCCACTCTGCCCCTCACTGGAACTCTTGGGCACAAAATCTGAAGTGGCCCATTACTGTGGGCAGGGCACTGTGGGAGACCCCGGGGGACAAGCAATTATAAGACAGGCTCTCAGGGTGCTTGCCATTCAGCTGGAGCTAAGGCGTGTAAACAAAAATAAACACTGAAATACCTCCTAAAGTGTCCCCTTGAAGGGAAAGGATACATAAACTCATTTTTCAGCAATGTCTAAATGTATGCTTAGAATTCTAGATTTTTACTACTGTAGAAATTATCAAGTTTAATTAATATCAAATTTTAAACCTATTCATTTTGGTAGCTTCAGCCAAGTACTGGGAGCATTATAGCAAAACCCATCTCAACTTAGTGAACTTTTCTTTTCCCCCCAGAAGCTTTAACTACATAAAAAACATAACACATATATTAACAATATCAGCCACTCTGATGGCGAGTAAAAAAAAAAGTTCAGAAATAAAGAAAATGCCAGTGCTAAATTCAAAGTGATAAAATTAAACTAACATCACATGTCAAAAAAATCATTTAACTTTTGAACCTTTTAGATTTTCAATTTTTCAGACATTTGGGAATGAAAAATTAGTTTTCATGGAGTCTTCAGCTCCTGGAAAAAATAAAGTATTATTATTTTGTATGTCATTATTAAGTAGAAAGTTTTCAAGTAATTTAGTCATGACTAGTGCTAGCTTTCATAGTATCTTATGCCAGTTGGCTATTTCATGAACACTTGGGAAAAAACATTAGAAGACTAATTAAACACAACCAATTTACACTATTCTCATTTCAGAGCTGCGTGGACCAAAGCATCCATCTCATGTGCAGATTTAACACTGAGTATTTACTTACTGCCAATTTATAACTTCCTAAAATATAATATTCATTATTCAAGCTGGTATCTAACTCATAATAATTGCTGAAACTGTACCTTTTAAAAATGAAAAATTCATACAGAAAAAAATAAGTGGATTATATCTGTAACTTTCATTAAGTAGCTGTCATGCAAAAGTAATATGTAGGGAAAGGGCCTGATGAGGCTTTGGCGGAAATGTAATAGAAGCTACCAAGGATGAGGATAATAATTCTTTGGCATAATCCTGACATTTTTAATTTTTGTGATTTATATTATTTATTTGTAATAGTATCAGTAAAGAAATAGGCCTGATTTCCCTCACTTTGTGCTTTAACTGTTTAAGTAGACCAGCAAGGTAAAAATGTTAAATGCTAATTTATTTTTTATGAAAACACATGTCATACTAATACTTACACTGTTTATTTTGCAAACAAGTTGATTTTGTTCTTCAATTTTCTTCCTAAGCTCAGTTTCCAGATCTAGTATTTTAATTTGTAAAGCCCTCTCTCTAGATGACATTTTCTCCATTTCTTCAGAAACCTGTAATTTTCATTAAAAGAGTAAGGTAACTAAATGTGCTTTCTTTAAAGTATAATTTAAAGCCTTGACATAGTTATCCTATACCTCGTTTTTCCAAACAGATATTAACTGGATGCTAGACAATTTAATTACAAAATGTTTAAAATTGTTCTATCATAAGGAAGCAAATATAGCATAAGTATCTACAAAATGACCTAAGATAGAAGAGGTGTATGCATTTGCACTGCTCTGTGACTTTGGGAGATGTTTTATATCTGAGACCACTTTCCATTTTATAGTATTATATTCACCATGTTGTCTAGAATGGTACTGGAACACAGATTGTTCTTATTCAATGCTGATTATAGACTTGGATGGATAAAATTGGGGGCAGGGCAGGTGATACATACACTTCACACACACATAAAAGAGATTGATTTTTCATTCATTTACTTTCAAAGTGGTCTGAATTTGAGTTCTCATATATCTCTGACTGTTCACTTAGCACAAAGTCTAGCTTAGCTTTGTTCATCCAAGGATTCAGATATATAGAAGTCTGCTTACAATGATGTTGGGTTGGGGCCTGAACAATGGGAGTGGAGGTAGGGACCAGTTCAGGAGCAAGGAGCTAGCGGGAAGGGCTATCATCCAATCTGACTCCAATGGCCTCAGTTCTAAGTTATTATAAAGTGATTTACAAAGATTACTGTGTACAAATTTCTAAGGGTGACTGTGAGTAAGGCGTGCAGGCAGAATCTGAAGCTGTGGGAGAAAGAGCCCTCAGAACAAATGTCCGTGCCCTTGACCATGTCCCTCAGTGTGGACAATGGAGAGAGGGCAGTGACTGCACTCCTCATGGGGCAGGAACTAGAGACAGTTTCTTACCTTAGTTTCTTACTTGATAAAATGGGAATAACGAGTAACTTGTCCTGGGCCAGGGTATAATGTACCAGAGACAATTCAAATACCAAACACCAAAGTTGACCTCCTGTCCTTTCAAGATTACATTCTCAAATCATTTCGTAACTTTACCTCTCCTGTGAGATCTTCCTGAATCATGTCTCCTCACCCCCAGGTTGAACGACCTTGCCCCCTCCCTCTATTCTAGCACCTACACGCTGGACGACATTGGTTTGTTCACAGTTATCTCCCTCCTGAGCAATGAGTGCGCCGAGAGCTGAGGCCAGGTCTTAGTCATCGTTGCATCTCAAGGACTAGTAGAGACGCACAGGAAGATATTTATTAAATGCTAACCAAATGGATTTAACTAGAATTTAATTCTTGCATGTATTTATTTATGCAATAATATTTCCCAAAAGAAAAGGGAGTTGTGCTTTACAGGTCACTGGATCCTACTCAAAACCAAAATGTTCAATAATTTTCACATTAGCTTTGGTTTTATTTTTTTAAAAGGGAGGTGGAAGGAAAATATTCCTTCAAAGTGTTTTCCATCCCTACCCTTTACCCTGCCACATCATCATTATCTGGTAAAGTAACTCTGGACCAGTAATATATCTGTTTAGCTGCAAAAGGCAAAAGTAGGTAAAAAACAAAAATGTAATTGCTCCCTTCACCCTGTCATCAGGATAAAAACAATAACTATAGGTTTGGCAAGATGAGATATTGTCTGTTTTAAAAAAGGACTCTTTGGTAAACTAATTAAAAAGTTTCTAAATAAAGGCCCTCTGTACCTTTTGTCTTCCTTCTTCTAAAGCAGCTTCCAGCTGTCTAGCCAATGCTGTATGTTCTTCAGACTTCTCTTTAAACTTAAGATTGCTGTGCTTAAGAAACTCTTCTTGGTCCTCCAGCTTCTTTTCAAGCTCTTTATTTTCTGCATCCATCTGTTCTAATTTTCTTTTTCCAAAAAACATTTTAAAATTACAGTGTATAGAAATACATATAACACCAATTTTAAGTCAATGTAATACTTACTGTTTAAGGTTTTCACATTTCAATTGAATAAGATAATTTTCCTCTTCCAAAGAAAGCTTTGTCAGAAGATTGTGATTTCCATCAAACTAAAAGAGAAAAAAATTTTTTTCTTGGTTATTTCCTTTATAATCAATTTCCAAAGAAATCTGTAAGTTTTATTGTTAGAACAATCAGAAGAAACAAGAAGGTAGCCCTAGCTGGTGTGGCTCAGTTGGTTGGAGCATTGTCCCATAACCAGAAGGTTGCGGGTTCAATTCCCAGTCAGGGCACATGCCTTGGTTGCAGGTTTGATTCCTGGTCCAGGTGCCTATAATCCCTGATTTGGGCGCATACCAGAGGCAACCAATTGATGTTTCTCTCTCCCTTCCTCTTTCTCTAAAAGCAATGAAAAAAAAAATCCTTGGATGAGGATAAAAAACATATTTAAAAAAGAACAAAAGAAGGTATAAATATTATTACTCCTATACAGAGAGACACCAAGAAATATTACATTGTTAAAACATAAGTTAAAAAACTATGCTGTCATGGAAAATCATCTATAACTTTTTTTGAAAGACAGCAATTAAAACATTATGAAAAATGTTGTATTGCAAAAGGACATTTATTTTATTAAGTGTGAAGATTTTTAAGATTGTAGCATATTTAGGGTTACTCTTATAGTTTTTTGCTTCACCTAAACAATGATTAATAATTGAATATCTGTGAAGCTGTAACTATGAGTAAAAAACCTATCTGTGAAAAGCAAATTAAATTAACAAAGAAATCAACGAAAGATACACTCGCCCATGCCAAGATAGACTGTTCCTCCCATTGCTTTAAAAGCTATATTTAAACAGTTTCAGAGGCTTTAACATTTCTCATAATCTCAATTTGTAACTTAGGTTGTCTGTGTAATTTGACATTTCCCTAGAAATCTCTTCTCAAGAATTTAAATTCAGCAAAGCTTTGTTTGCTTGTTTTTAAAAACAGGATGTATTTCAAATTTAAAATCCAAACTACATTTGGAAGATAGGGAATCATTCCTAAAATTGTTTTGCAAATAAAGAAAAATACTTGCTACCATCCTTGGACATGCTTCTTTGACAAAAAAAAAGTGCTTAATTAAAACATGTACTTATTAAGTGCTTACTATGTGCTATGCACGGAACCAGAAGATGGCTATGTGGTAACTCACAGAACATCCGTGGTCCCTGCTCTAATGAAGTAAACCAGTATATGCCAAAAAAATTGGAAATAATCCAAATAAAGTTGATGCACAATTCTAATTAAAATGAATTCAAATTTTTGTGAAATAAATTACAATAATTTAGCTTATCCTGACATCAAAAAATATATATGTAAACATAGCATTGCTCCTTCTCTTACACTATTACCATGTCTTCAAGTGTCTAAATATAGATTTGTGTGAATAAACTGAATCAGCAATTCTGGTTACCAATCTTTTACTATAATATATGAAACAAATAGCTTGCAAAAATAATATTAGTAGTTGCATAAAACTGGTATTTTATCAAATGATTTAGACAGGAGTAGAATAAATCAACCCCTGACATGAGTGCCCTCAACTGGTGAAATCATTCCTAAGCGGTTCCTTAACACATCTAGCAAAGTGAGAATGATGGCTGCACACCTGGCCCTGAAGCTCCCTAATGGTGCGGGCCTGGTCTGCACATTTGCCCTTGCAGTGCTGCAGCCTTTCCTGACACTCCTGAAGCTTCTGCTCCGCCGCCGTCAGCGCATCGCGGGCGCGCTCTAACGCCTTCAGATGAGACTCCATCTGGCCTCTCATCTGAATTGTAGCAGTAGGGAAATAAGGGTAAGATAGCACATTCAGCATTACTGTTTCACTGTTTTAAATACTAGATATGCTTTTAATAGAATATATACTTTAGGTATAATGGTTTTAAACAAAAAGATTCCACTAAATAAATATGAATAAACATTAGGTTAGACTCTGACAAATAATGAAAATAAAACTCAAAAGGGAGTGACACTTCAATTAGCTTTCAAAAAGTATGTTGAATAAATGTATACAATAATATTAGCTTGCAGGAAGAATGTTTAGCCTACTTAGGAAAGGAAACTTTTTGAATCCTGTCATTTATATTTCAGTGTAGATATTACTAATACAGCTGGTATGGTAGTTTTCCACTATCAAGCCATCAGTCTAAAGTAACTGTCACTTTTTGTCGTTCAACCTTGTAACTCAGATATTTCAATCAGAGCAGCCTTGCTGCACTCATCTTAGTCCAAATCAATGGGGTTTACTGCATATTATTTCAAGAGAGCTACTTTTATCCTCAGTAGACTATTTAATTATTAATGTTATTACAATTTTATCTATGTTAATCTCTCTGGCCGCTGCAGTTCCTCACTGCAGCACTTTTGCAGAGCTGTGACAAGAAGCAACCCTAAGATATGCTCGCACTACTAATTAAGAAAAAATAAGCAGACACACGGCACCTAGGATGTTCATAGGGAGGAAAAGCAAGAGCTAGCCTCCTTCCTGGACACAGGAACCACCTAGGGCTACTGCGCAACATGTGGCAGACTTAATCGAAAAAAATAAAAATAGGACAAAGCACACCTCCCGAAACATCTAGGAGCCCATGAGAAAACCAGCAGACTTAAAATAGTGGAAAAATAAAAGGAAGAATTTCATTTAAAAAAAAAAAAAAAAAAAAAGACTTTTCTGGTTTAATACCAGTAAGAAACCACTGTGACTTCACAGTACCTGAAAAACAGGCCTCTGCTCTCTCTGCCTTTCTGAACCGGTTTTTAAAATAGGCTTTTATTTACAGTGCTGCCTAGCAAAAGAGAAGACATTTGCATTGGTATGTCTCATGAAAAAAAAAGAGACCAAGAGACACGAAATAATTCCTTCTCTAGTTTGCTAAAAATAGGAAAAGTAATTCTGAGAAAGTAGTAATTGCGCCTTGATGGGTTATCTATCTATCTCTGTTTAACCGGCAGAATGCCTGCTCTGGCTAGCCTCTTCACATTGGTGCCTCATTTGAACTTTTCAGCCCCCAGATACTGAGGAAATCCAGAGCCAGCGGTCACCTTATTACACTCAGCTGGAACTGAACAGTAACATCCCATGACCCCTCCAGCCAGGAGCTAGTAGCATCCTACGGCTTTCACTGCTTCCTCACCAAACATGAAAAGACCCAAAAAGGGATGCAATTTCATTTAAGAACTTAAAAATATTCACAAAAACATCATAACTTGCCAAACTGGCCTTCCTCTCATTCTGTTGCAATAGGGTGAAAAAAAAGGAAATGATGGTTTTTTTAAAGTAATATGATTTTTCTTCCAACAAAGCATTTAGAAGAGAGTATTTACTTTGCTCTTTTAGACACAAAAGATTTACTACCAGAAAAACAAGGGACGATTAAAAATGAGAGGTATTCAAATTTGCTTACTTATGGTTGATGAAGCTCAGTAATAACCATTTTTTGAGCTATGTAAGTCTGCTCTTGAGTAAGAAAAATTAAATGTTTATGTTATTTTCCAAATATTAAGGAAAAAGTAGAAAAATAGTTAAACAAATAAACACCGTTCAAGCCTGGAAGAAACATTATTTCCTCAGAAAACAAACTCCTACAGAGATTGAGAATAGATAGAGAAAATGACCACAATGAGAGATATTTGTCCAATATTCATAAAGTATAAAATATAAATCAAATATTATTTTATTATCTAAAATGTCAACCTTACCTTCTCTAGTTTTTTATTTTTGTTTTTTGTTATTAGGTTATTTTCACTTAGCAAATTTTCACATCTGCTTTTCACCATTTCAGCTGCTTCTTGCAACTTTTGTATCTGAAAATAGATTAGAGTAACATATTATTTTATTATTAAGACCATACTATGAAATAAAAAGCTAAATATTTTAATTTTCAATTTTAAACCAATCATTATTTCCCTTTCAGTACGTCAGCATGTTTATCTAATGTTACTCCTTTTTTAAATATGGAAATCACTCAGTGCTCTCCTCTAATCCACAATCCTTTTATGATTTAACTGTCTCCTTCCATTAATTGTCATAGACTCTTCACTTGCTCTGAATGTAAAAGAGATTTTCATTTCCAGGTCAATGTCACGAAGAATCAGCCTCTGGTTTCAAACTAGCTCTCACACCATTATTGTACCCTCCAAATCAAAATTTGCTCAAAAGATATCTGACTGAGCATTTTGTACAAGGCCCAGAGCCTAGAATATGATAGTGCACCGATAACATTCCTGCTAAGAGCTTAAATCCAAACCAGCTGGGAGACCCAGGTGACAGTCTCAACACCATGAGCCACAGATCACCAGCGCCTCTATTCCTACCTCTGGCCTGGATGCCTCTCGGGACAGCTCAACTCCATTTTCCCATCTAAACCCTCCAGATGCAGCCTCTTCCTACTTACCTACACTATGCTCCCGTTAAGCTTTTACCTATAGTACTGTACTCTTTATTCAAATGTTCACTTCCAATAAAATCTAACTCTTTATTGAGCAGTTTGTTATCCATCATTCACAGGCCTGCATAAATTCCATCTTTCTCATTAAGTTTTTTCTCAAATACCACATTTCCAAAACATAAGCTTTTCTATAAACTATCATTGAACACATGCTCTATCCCAAATATATTATCATATGTTCTTTCTAGGTATTTCTTGGGAGTAAGTCTGAACTACACCTTATTTATTGGGAAAAGGGGAGTATTGGACTTTAATGGCCCTTGAAAGGAGTTGTTATTCTAAATCAATACCATTAAATATACAAGATGACAAAAAATATAAACAAGATTATATACAAGGTTTATATTACATCTATGTAATTAGTTTTAGAGCTATTTTTTAGGAATATCCAATGCACACAGAGGCAATATTTGAATCAGGAATCAGTAGAATCATCTATTTATAGAAGTATTTAGGGCCTTAAGAAACATTTGGGACATGTCATGTTCCATCACAAGTAAGAGCTTCACCCTTCTTCAGTTCTGCTTATTTAGATTCTAAAAAAATGCAGTGTTTTAAATTGTCTATCAAATTTAACAAACATTTAAAAAAATGCAGTGGTTACCTGAGTTTTATACACTTCAATAAGTGTTTTCTGTTGTTTTTCTACTTCCTGCAATTCTAAGAGTTCATTTTCAACAGAAACAACCTCATCCTTCAAAGTAGCAAGTGTTGTCTAGCAAGAAACATATAAATATATATTACAGATCATTAAAATTCACTTGTGCTCCAATGCTATAGGATTATAAAAACATAACTTACTATCAAAAGTTAATAAAATAATTATTGATTGCATATAATTACCATCTAAAAAATTTAAGGATTTCAAACAAGTGGCAATACTCTGAAACAACTTTAAAAGACTTATATAAACAAGACATAGTTTTAAAATTTTTAAAATTTAGTGACAAAAAAAGACTTGGAAAATAGACCAGGTTCCTAGATAGGGAGATGCAAACCAGTTTTTTCCAAATCAATAAAGATTTAATGCAATTTCAACCAAAAGTATAACAGTTGGGGGAGGGGGAATATGACAAAATTAATTTAAAATTCATATGCAAAAATAAACAGGAAAGACTAATAAAATTTTGAAAGAAATTTCCAAATTTCTAAGTGAAGAATCTCAGTACTTATTAGGTATTAAAATATATAAAGAACTAAAATTAAGACATTAAGAATATAGAGATCGATAGAATAGTAAAAAAATCCTAAAATTATATTTAGTATATGACAAAGGTTGGACTTTATGGATCAAGAAACAATGAAAGCAACAAAACTGTTTAACTATTAGAAAAAAAATAGATTTCCCTGTACCCAACACTATTTTTATGTTTATTAAAAATAAAAAATGAAGCTATAAAAATTTTCACAGAAAATATTCTTGGATATAAGGATAGCACAAGCCCTACTAAGCAAAAAACCAAAAGAAGATATCAAGAACTGTAAGGATCTGACACTTTACCCTCTAAGTTTACAAGTCAGCTTAGCACAGTTTCAGGGATGCTAAGAGAACGCATGAGACTCCTAGGTCAGGGACACAGGGCTTTATTACCCCCAGCAATCACAGTACCCAAGTATCAGCACTGGTGTGCGTTCTCTAAGCCTCAGTTCCCACAGGGCAACATAGAGGGCTGCCGGGTGACACCTGTACATATAGTGGAAAACATTACAGGGGAACAATGCTGAGTTTAGGGAACTCAGATCTCTTATAACAGGCAGTCATCATGCCTACCCTTTGCTATAGAAACTGCTATATTCCAAGCATTTGGAAGCAAATATCACAATCTTTCTCTATCTATACATCCTTGAAAAGATAGTCTGGACCTACAGGCAGTCAGTGCCTCTGCTTGCAAGATGAGCAGAAATGGAGAGATTCCCAAAAGAGGTCATAAAATAAAATATATATACACATAATACACACACACATACAACTATATATATACATATATACCTGTATACACATATGTGTATATATATCCAAAATTTCATAGCCCCCTCAAAGATTTAAGAGATGAGCAAACTTTGAAAAAAAGTAACAAATTATGACAAAAGATGAACACCCTTAATATATGGAGACTTCTTATATGTTGATTAGGAAAAAGGATATAGAAGATAATAGTAGGTAACTCAAAAAAAGCAGAAATATATATAATCGATGAATACATAAAAAATTTTTACTAGTCATTAAAAAAATGCTCTAGAGACTGGATATTCTTCTAGTAGTGAAAAAGAGACAAAAATCCTTTCCTTCATGAGCTTACGTATTCCATGTATAGAGAGACAAAAACAAGGGGTAGATGGGACCAAAAAAAAGACTAAGAAGTGAGATATATCAAACACGAAAGCAAGGTAGGAATGAAAAGCTGGGGTTGGGCCAGAAAAGGCCTCCTGAGAAAGGGCTGTTAAATAGACACCAAAAGGAAGTGTGGCTCTTTGAGGGAAGAGGATTCCTATCAAGAAAGGCAACAGTGGGAGAAGCCCTGGCCAGTTAGGGAAAAACAGCAAGAAGGCCAACGTGGCAGAAGGGAAAAAACAAAAGGGAGAATGGAAGAAGATGAGGTGAGAGAAGCGATGGAAAGCCAGGTGGCATGATGCCCTGTGGATGTTCACTGACTATTAACCAAGATATCACTGGAGGGTTCTGAGCGACATGGTTACATTTTCGTAGAAACTGCTTTCCTGCGGCACTGAATGCTTACTACAAGGTCAAGGACAGAAGCGAAGAGTTAGGAAGTCAGTGTAAGGACCAGATATGGCGGCTTGAACCAGGATAAGGGCCACGGTGCTGCTGAGAAGTGGTCAAAGTCTGCGCGTATTTGAAGTAGATTTGCTGACAGACTAGAAACAGATGTGAGAGAAAGAAGTCAAGGATTACACCGAGTAATATAAAGGGTGATTGGCATTAAATGACATGAGGATAGTGTAGAGAATTATTTTGAGGAGTACAGGAAGTCTATTTTGGACACAACTTTGAAATACCTATTAAATATCCTAGCGGAGATTTCAACTAGGCAGTAGAATATATGTATGGAATTCGGGGGCAAGGTCTAGGCTAGATATATAAATGGGTAAGCCTCTAGGCTATACACAGTATTTAAAGGCCCAACATTAGATGAGTTCACCTATCAAATCTGAAGAGACTTGTTTTAAATTGCTTAATGTTGGAAAAATACAGGCACCCATTTATGGTGGGTAACTTAGAAATATGAAACACCAACATTAAAAATGGGCCTCCCTTTAATCATGTAATTCAACTCTAGAAATTTATGCTAAGAAAATGGATATGCAAAAACATTCAAAGAAACTACCTACATTTTTAATTACAAAAATAAAAACTGGAAGTGGTTCAAAATCCCAAAAATTATAAATATGCTAATATAGTAACTTTAGTTATCTTTGTTATGAGCTTAGAGGTGATTTTTATCATTTTTCATTTTGTGCTTTTCTGTTTTTCTTACATTCTATAATAAATAAAACTTTCTAACCCTTCAAATAAAATTTTATTTTTTTAATGGAGGAAATCACTGGGTCTTGGAAGCAATATCACCTACCTTTTTTTTTATTTGAAACTTTAAAATCTAAAATTATTCTAAAGTAATTAAAAGTAACAAAACATGACATCTAGGCAATTTTACATTATAAAGAACATATGCGAAACATACCTCAATTTTTTTCCTTAAACAAAATCCAGAAAATAATGCACTAAAAGTACATGTTTTTGCATTACAATAGAATATAAGATATCAACTTTAACAATGATTTTATACCTATGTAACTTAAAATTAATTCCATTACCATGCAATCAAAACCTAGATTTATAATTAATGAATTATCCTTCTAACCATTTCTCCCTGAAAGATATCGAGGAAATTTAAAAAAATAAACACAATAAATAAAATTTCCTCTTCCTGGATGAAACATTTTAAGCATTTATTCAATAAATATTCATTGAGAGATAAGTACATGCCACACCTTTCCTGGGCATCTTATGCATACAAACATGGGAGTTTATAAAGATAGATTCGTCCTAAATGAGAATATTCGGGGAAGGTGAGTAGATTTTGAGCTGACATTTAAAGGAAAGGTAAAATTTAGATACTGAGAAAAATAGCACTCCAAACTATAAGGCTAGCAAAACTATAGGAATCGGTACAGAAAAACACGAACAAATTGCATGAATGAGTACTCATATTTGGTAGAGCTCAGGATAACTAGTACACTACATTCTCTTATCTCCCTTGCAGCTATGTGGGGCCATACATCTAAATAAGTAGAAGAGTCTAGTGGTATGAAAGTTTCGGGAAGTCTCTCTAAAGATAAAGAGATGGGAAATAAAAGGAAGATAATCCACCATTTTTCCTCCTTCCATCCTGTTGCTTGAAACTTGGCTATAATGGCTGGAACTCCAGCAGCCTTTTTAAATCATGAGGATAAGCTTCTCAACCTAAGAATGGCAGAGTAGAGAGCTAAAAATAGAGGTTAGGTTATCTGATGCCGTATCAACTTTGAACTGCAAATTCTGGCTTTGTTTTACATAAACAGATTCTTTTCTGTTTTCTATTTACTGTCCTCCAAAAATAATATGAAACTGAGAATGATGCCATTGCTGTTAGTCAAGTTTCATATGGTTATGTGCATCTCTGATTGAGAACTCAAGTTTTTCTCAGAAAATGGAAAAGCTTCTTCCCCATCTTTTTTCTGGTACACATACAAACCAATCACCCCTTGGATTTGATTAAGTTGGAAAATTCTTTCTGGTTACAAAGCAGCCAAGAACATATTTTCTGGTTTCAAACAGACCATGGCTGAGGTTATATCCTATCGTAACCATGACACCTAGAAATAATCTAATGCATTAAAGTTAATGTAATTTTGGATGGTTCACTTAACTAAAATTGGAGAGTAAATACATTTTTTTAGGTTGAGTCAAACAGTTATTCAACTTTTTAAATCTTATTTAATACTGCTGAAAACAATTTTAACATGTATCTTTGTATGTAACTTTAAAATTTAATACCTATATACGTGTGTGTGTGTATATTACCTATTATAATGACACTCATTCTCTGAGAAACATAAAGGACAAAATGATACAAGAGCATTATTTTAAACATACTGTTATTAAAAACTACTTGTACTAAGTAGACTAAGTTGTGATAACACAATACGTATACACACAAACACACAGTACCTTTAATTTTGTATTCTCAAGAGTAAGAGTTTCACTTTCATATTCAATAGACTGAAGTTTTCTAAGAATTTCCCCACATGAATTTTTTCCATTGTCTTCCATTTTCTTCAGGTCTTCCAAAAGATTATTGATTTGCCTTTATAAAATAAATGACATATTTTGTAAGATTATTGAATATTCATTCAAATAATACATCGTAAGTGTGTTTCTGAAGTTATTTTGGTAGATGTATTGTTTCAAAAGTTAATGGAACTCATAGAACAAGGGAAATAGGAAGCAATCATCTATGTAAAGTTACTATCTAAGTAACCTTGATTAGAAACAACTACACATTGATAATGCCAATGAAAAATTACACAATATTCTCTTCTCTATCCAATAAAACGTTTAAACTATCATCATAGACATGTCTGTCTGTCTCTCATTCACACACATACAATCTCTGGGCAAGGTAAATAAAAGTATCAAGTAAGGCAATAGTTAATCTTTAAAAGCAAATTATATTTGCTAGTCTTCAATGATAATACTGAAGAAAATATATAGAAAAATAAGACATTTAAAAGCAAATATTCAGGGTTCACTGTTAGTTTATCAATAATATAACTCAAAGCATAAAATATATATTTTTTTATCACTGATTTTCTTTGTTATGCATTTAAAGCACTTGAAGGAACAATAATTTTGGCGATTTTGAAAGCATTTATGCCTTTCTTATAAACTGTAGTATTATATATACTTATACATTCTTGTTTAGTAGAGAAATGCTATTTCCATTCTAAGACAAAGATAGTGCTAACATTTACTGCAAATAATAGATGACATATACTCAAATACCAACTATTAACTTACAAGTTCATGTTTCAAAATGTGAACAGCAATGTGCTTTTAATGGGTAATCATTTTGTTGTATTTTTAGATTAAGAAAAGTTTATAAAAGTATAAATAGAAAAATATCAAATCATATACACAACACCTTTACCACATGTAAATCCAGAAGAACAAAAATACAAACCACTCAAAGAACCGAAAAGACTTCTTATATGGTAAAAGAGTCTAAACTTTTTTCTTACTTTTTCATTGTCTCAATCTGAACTTCCAATTCAGTTTTTTCTATTACAATTTTCTCATAATGACTTTTCCAGGCATTGGAAGCTGAAATTGCTTCAGACAACTTGGCTTCCTAAAAAATACATAAAGTACTCATCTTGTAATTTAATAACACTTTGGTTTTGTTCAGGCCCCTAATCACAAATATGTTATAAACGAGGAAACATCCTATAAAGCATGAGACTTTTGTTACAGAAAATTTCAGTGCACAACTCTGAATATAGCAAAGCTTTAAAGTAAACTTTAATAATATCTTGATGTTACTATAATTTTATATGTATGTAGTGGCAGTTCCAACTTAACACTTTAAGGATGTTGGCTGTAACTATTTTCAAACATTTCCTAATTAATGAAGATAATTCCCTATTGACTGAACTTCTCATTTTTCATTTTATATATAGCACATGCTACCAACCATATAAGCATTAGAGGAGAAAGAAGCCCTCTGGTGTACATAGAAACCATGTGCAATTCCAAATTCTACAGCATTTAATAATGCAGCCTTGTTTTATAATGATGTCTACCTGCTTTGTTGAGGTCACCCCCACTGACCTTCAAACCCTGTTAACTTTAGCAAAGAGATGAGAGTGGTAGTCATGGCTTATTTACTTTGAATGTGAGTTCCCAAGGTAGAGATTTTTTTTTGTTGTGTTCATTGCTAGGGCTTTGAACATTGCCTTGCGTAGAGCAAACTCTTAATAAGGTCAAATGAATCTACTCTTTACAAATCCACCTAGTGAGCTGCATAGCCATGGTCCCCCATCTGCATTCTACAGAAAAACAAATTCACTGGAATGACAACAGTGCCAATAATCACTAATCAGAAGACCCAGAAATACAGTAGTCCCTCCATATTTGTAGGGGATTGGTGCCAAGACCCTGAAGCAAAGCCTGCAAACAGATAGTACTGAACTCTATATACACTATGTTTATTACTATACATACATACTTATGATAGTTTAATTTATACATTAGGCACAGTAAGAGATAAATGACAATAATAAAAAAAAAGTGCAATTATAACAATATACTGTAATAAAAGTTACATGACTGCCCTAATTGGTATGGTTCAGTGGGTTGGGTATCGTCACAAGGACTGAAAGGTCGCTGGACTGATTTCCGGTGAGGGCCATGGCTGGGTTGCGGGTCAGGTCCCTGGTTCAGGGCCTATGAGAGGCAACTGATCAGTGTTTCTCTCGCACATTGATGTTTCTCTCCCTCTCTTTCTCCCTCCCTTCCCCTCTCTCTAAAAATAAATCTTTTTAAAAAAGTTATGTGACTGTGGTCTCTCTCTTGGTCTCTCTCAAAATACCTCATTGTACAATATTCATGCACCCTTCTTGTGATGATGTGAGATGATGAAGTGTCTTATTAAGTCAAGAACTTTCACTTTTCACTTCAGGGAAGAACTTCATGGCTTCTCTCTGACATATCTGAATGGCTAGCATCACTACTCTTGCATTCTGGGGCGATTAGTGAGTAAAATACGGGTGGCTTGAACACAAGCACTGTGATACCGTGACAGGCAATCCGGTTACCGGGGGGCTAGTAAGTGACTGAAAGGGAGGGGGCACACACCGTGTGGATGTGCTGGGCAAAGGGATGATTTCTGCAGGTGAGACAGAACTGGGTGGTGCAAGATTTCAGAATGTTGTGCAACTTAAAACTTATGAATTGTTTATTTCTGGAATTTCCATTCGTATTTACAGACCAGACCACGGATGACTAAGGGTAACAAACTGTGGAAAGTGAATCCACAGAGAAGGGGGACTACTGTAGCAATGGTAACAGTTAAAGATTTATCGGGTGCCTCCTCCTTTCCTTCCATCATTCACCTAGTCACTGAACAAATATTTACTGATCTACTGTACACAAGATATTTTTAGTTATATTTTTAGTTATATTTTACTATATTGAAGACTAGTATTTTATTTTCAAATTCTATATAAAATAAATTTTAATTAAAAAATACATGTACTATGAAGTGTAAGTTGGGTAATTATGTTATAAATTAAGATATTTAGAAATTTCACTTATAAAATAATTGCTATCAAGAAAATTTAGGACATGATATGATTAACTGTGGTGGGACCCCTTCAAAAGAAGGGGTCAAGGAAAGCACCTCTGAAGAGATGTCAATTTAAAAATATACCTGAATGATTATAAAAGAACCAGCTAGTGTGAGCCAGAGAAGAGCATTACAGCCAAAGGCAACAGCAAACAATAGAGAAACAAACAAGATGCATTACAGGGATAGAAAGGAGGCTAATACTGCAAATGGCAGTATGGCCATAAACTGTGTTTTGACATAGGTTTTCTTTTTTTCTTCCTACAATCATATGAAATGGGCAGTATTATTATCCCTTACTTTATAGATTTAAAAAAAAAAAAAAAAAAAAGGAAGCTTAGACAAGTTCAGTACCTTTTACCCAAAGTTCACAAGGTTAACAAAGGGAGGAACCCCCTGCACTGCAGAGGGGCCTGGCCTGGGTGATATGACACTATTTACATAGGAAAATCCCAAGAATGTTAATGACTTGATTGGTTTTTATTACTCAAGAGTATTTTCAGGCCTAGAACCTTCTAGATTTTGAACCTAGTCTTCAATTCTTGTATTTAGCTAAATTCTTCTGAATGTAGGTAGGTTAAACATTAGTCCTAAAATGTTAACAATTGAGCTTATAAAATATTAAGTGTTCTGTTTACATAAATGTTTGTGCAAGTCTTCATTTCTAAAAACCTCTAATAATTCTGAAAGTCTAACATAAGGTTCTCAGAGGTGGGATACCAGTGAAACATTAAACAGAATAAATATTTTATTAATTGGTATTTGAATAAATATAACAATTCATTAAAAACAACAAAGCACTAAGTCCATTTTCAACTTTGTACTACTCACAAAGATAACTTTCACATGGTGTGTTTACGTCAGCAAATGGTTTTAAATGCTTTACAGAGTTCAAATGAATTAATGAATAAAGTCATATGGTCCAATAACATAAATCAGCATTTCCCAAACTAGTGTTCCTCAGAACCAGTTCCAAGAGTTGTTTTGTGGGTAAAAGAAGAGTTCTGTGGTTAAATAAGTGGTGGGAAACTCTGAGTTCAATACCCTTCATTACACTGCTTTACTTTTATGAAAGTCTCCTCAGGGCCTCTAATATGCTAATGTGCACTGTAAATTTCCAAAGGGGAATATATGTATGTTACGTTATCCTCACACTTAACATATCCTTTAAGTGCTCAAGGAACTGCTGATATAATTCAGTATGTAAATTTAACATTTTATGTAATATTTCAAAATAAAGATGAGCAAAAAACCATGAGTAAAGTTTTTCTAGTATCAGCAATATTAGAAGCATCACGACATTAACTACATAAACCAAGTACACAAAATAGTTCAGTAAGAAAAAACGTATGTACTAACCTGATCTCTAATCTGGGAAGTCAGGTTTTCAATGTCTCCTGTAAAATGTTCAAGCCTTTGTTTGTAAACTTTAGATGCTTTTTTCAGGGCGATAGTTTTTTGCCTACTTGATTCTTTCATCGCTACAGTCTCATGCTTACTCTTTTTCAATTTCAAGTTCCATTGGTCTATCTTAGTCTCTAAGCTCTAAAAAGTAAAAAAAAAAATATATTAGCAGGAATTCAACTATTTTAGAATTCCAATGTTTATGTAAATATTGCAAAAATATGTAAATAATCTTCCACATGAGGTTATTAGAGGATTCATCATATGATTAATAGAAAACAAAACAGTGAAGAACAGTGATTTCACTGACGTTTATCTGTAGCCAGTTATTGAACGCAAATTTAAAATACATAAGCCTACATAAAACTAATGTTGCTTTTATCGTAGATACCAATATTGGTGACTATCGTAAAAATACTAACTTCCTTAAAACTGTTGTGATTAACTAGAACTTCACATGTAGACTATTACACGTGGTACTAGTTATTTCAAGTCAAAAAACAGTAATTGTGCTGGAGACAATTCAAACAATAGGTACACAAAGCTCCAAGGAATTAGTAATTTACCAAAAATGACAAAAAAATCTACAGATCATGAAAGGTATGGATGAGACAGACATACACGTATTGACCAAAATTCTAACTTATGAGAATTAAGGGGCATGTCTTGATACTTAAGAGTTCACCAAGGACAATAAAAGTACTGCTTTACCCAATGAGTAGTAACTTTGTGAATGTTAATTATTCTAGGACTGAACAAGGTTACGTAAAGAAATGACTACTAGATCCGCAAGAGCTAGGGTAAAGAAATGTCTGAAGGCATGTTTCTATCCATTGAGTTTAATGGTGTTAAACAGCATGACGTTTTCTTGACGTATTTCTTGATAACATGAGAAGCAGAATATTAGGCTCAGCTGATGATAGATATGATTTAGTGTGACACCTCTCATACTTTTTTTCAAATTAATTTAAGGGTTCATATTTAACTTATTTGAGTATTAAGTATCTAAGAATTTAAAGACTTAAGATTTTAATGCTTTTACATTTTTGAAAGTTGTATAATACTGAAAAGAATGCAAAATTATTACAGAATTTAGGTTTTAGTCTTCCATTCACTGGACAATCATTTTAATTTGAAAAAAATCAAAGAAGTCACAGTAGAAAATGGGGCTTTACTACATAACTCTGATATACAATTTTTGCTTCATAACTTCTAGTGAAATTGAGATTTTAAGATTTAAAGACTTGATTCTTTGAAAAGTGACTAGGTAGACTAAAAGAAGCAAAATATTCTTAAATTGTATTTTAAAAACTACCTTACGCTAAAATATCCAAGGAAATGTTTTCATAAGTAGTTGGAGAAAAACAAATAAAGAGCGAGACAGTAGGTCTCTTTCAGAGAAACAAAGGCCCCACAGGAAACGGAGCTGTCATTCCTCAGCGAGACCACAGGGTGTCATCATCACACCACGAATAATTGCTATGAATTTAAAAACCTTTTAAACACCAAAGGCAACGTAAAATTTTTTTCTGAAAAAGATTCTGGTCAACTTTCTCACTAAATTTACCAAATGCCACACTTGAACACTATTACGGAGTACACTGAAACCATTAAATTATTTTTATAGTTTCAGAATAAATCCCTCACAGTCTTTTGCCAAATGAATAGACAATATTTGAAGTCAACTATTTGTCTTTTCACATTTCCAATACATACTGCATATTCTAAAAATAATTATTCTCTACGTCTTTTAAAATGTAAAAATATTCTAATGCTAATTGCTATATAATAAAGATCTAGGGAAAATGGGTAAAAAGTATCTTCAGGGTAGTTCTCAAGAGAATTATAATTTATATTTTTAAAAGAACTAATATAATGAATTAAGTCAACAATATTATAACACTGAGATTAATGTTGCCAAATTGAGTTCCTTGTGCTTTTACTCAAAAATAGTATCTTGTTAAACCTAAACTGAAGGTTAAATTCTGACCTGCAATTACTTAACGCCTTAAATTCCAAAAGTGTGTGTGTAAGGTGTAATACAGAAAAGTCAGTAGCCTAATGAAACTTTCACTCATTTCTAAACAGTTGAATTTTTTAAAAGTTATTTGAATTCAAAGTATCAATATTATACAGGAGACTGTCATTGCAAAATCTTGTGATTTTAACCTTGTATTCTTTCCTCAAATTACCAGGAATAGAAAAAGTAACGTAACTTTTTTTTAAAAATCACTTAATAAAATACTTTCAAAAACATCCCCAACTGCTATTTGAGAAAATAAAGATTGTGGACGATAAATTGTAGTAGATAATTATTTGAGAGATTAAATCACACGTGTTCTCTTGTATTTACCATGATGAGCAATGGAATGGCGACTGCAGTTCACAGGCAATGCCCCAGACACCGAGAGAAAGGACACTGGGGTCTCTGGGGGAGAGTGCTTACAAGCACACGGAGGGGGACAGAGAACAAATTCTATATCCCCTATGGGCCTATTAATGTCCCTTTGAAGAGCAAAAGCTCACTGAAAGAAAGAAAAAAAGAAAGAAAAGAAAAACCAAGTGTCCTCTTAAAACATGTGCCACAGATTGCAGACATCTGCTAAGACTCAGGGATTCAGAAGCAAATAAACTTAACACAGAAGTCCTCACACTTGGTATGGTGTGTCTTTGTACACATCTCTTCTGAAAGTGAGAACACTGCTTGTTTTCCTTTGGCAAAAATAATGACAGCAAATCCAAATATCTAGTGTCATATCATAGCAACCGCAAATTCAAATTGCAAGTGACTGTGAGACTTCCTAAAGAATATTTAAACCACACAGTTTAAACCAAAAAATTCCCTTTATTTATGTGTGTGCACACACTCTCTCTCCCCTACACACACACACACACACACACACACACACATAAATACATACATATATACATAAATATATATAAGTATACATATATACACATATATAAAAAAGGAGATTATCTAAACACCAAACCTAGGATAACTGATTTTAAAGTTATTATCATTAGTAACAAACACAAAAATAATAAGCATTTATTTAACACTTACTAAATATGTGTAAGAGTATGTATGTATGCATAGATGTACAAAAAATAAAGTAAAATACCGGAATACTATGTGCCAAAATGTATTTTAGAGTTATTTTAATTTTCTCTTTAACATTATACAAATTATCCACAATAAACATAAATTAACTATATAGTGGGAAAGCTTTTCTAAGTAATTCAAGCTCTTCAAATCTTTCCTAGAGTGGTACTAAAAAGAGAGCATTTTTATATTAGGATTTGGAGGCAAATCTTCAGACAGCCCAGAAATCTTAAGTTTCAGATTTGCCTCAAATACGTATTTCCCATGACAGTACTTAAGTTGAATTCTTTCAAAACCATCAAATTCCAGAATTAAGGAAAGGCTTTATAGTAGATCATTAATTTTATCATAAACTATAAAAATGAATGAATATTTATAACCTTTATGTATTCTTTTAATTTATCATTCTCTGCTTCCTTTTTATGAATTTGGAGTTGTAGTCGTTCATGTACTACTTTAACTGATTGTGCAAAACGACTGGCTTTCAAAGCATTTGCCTAAAACAGAGAAAACAAAAATAAAATGTGTTATTTGATATATTTCTCCACAATCTTTAACTTACCTGTGTTTAGACACAATCTAAACAGCTGATAAAAAGCAAAGTAACACTTTACATACACTGTGACGCCCACCCCACCATTACAAATGTTTTTGACATAAAGCTATTTGGGATGTTTTCTCCTTCCTCCCTTTATTTAATGGCTCCTGTTAATTATCTCTTTTTAAAAATTCCTATCTATGTTCCCAAATAAAATTATGGGTATGTCTAAAAAGCTCCACAATACAAATTTACACATAGTTCCTAACACACAGTGATTTAAGCCACGTACCCTGACAGAAAAGCCATAAAAATCTCAAAAAAAAAATTAAAAAAAATTAAGATACGCTATTTGTTACATAAAACTTGCAAAATATATAAATAATCTAGAAATCTTTTTGCGCCTATTTCTGAGGCTATGGGAGCCAGGATATAAAGAAAGGAAAGGGGTCAATATTAAGAAAATAGATGAATTAAGCTCAAAATCTGCTTACCTTTTCATTCTGAAACAAAGAAGAAAGTTCTTGGATAGAGGTCTCCTTTTCAAGTACCTTCTTCTTAAGATCCTTCAGCAAATACAATGTTAGAGTTAGGAATATCATAAATAATCTTGGCTAATTTTATAGGCAAGCAGCATACAAACAAAAACGTCAGGAGAACAGATACAAAGTGTAAAAGACTTACAGTATTTTTACTTTCATTATCAGTTAGCTTCTCTAACATGCTGGTTAAATTGTCATCTATCTGTGAAAAAAAAACTGCTATAAATCAGTGTTCATAAACTGTATCTCTCTATATAAAAGAGTAGAAAGTAAAATAAGCATCAATTTAAAAAGGCAAAAAGGACTCGTGGACATGAACAACAGTGTGGTGATTGCTGGGGGAGGCAGGTATAAAAGGACTAAATGATAAAGGGGAAAAAACAAGAAAGATTAAATTAAAAAATAAATTTTAAAAAAGAAATAAACACTAATTAAGAAGTTAATATGAACAACTACATTAAACAGTTCAGATTTTTTAGAATATTAACATCAGAAGGATTTTTACCTAAGTGTTCCAAATCATGTTTTGCCCACAATTCATAAAATTAGTTAATTTACTAAATTAACCTCTAAATGCTGCAGAAAGTACAAACCGATGACATAAAAATCACAAAAATTTTGTATAGAGAAAGCTCACAGTGCTGTTAATGAATAGGTAAAAATTATAAATAACCTAATTCTACCAATAAGAATTGTTCTTAATTATGGCAAATCAGTAATGGGATTTCTGTAGACATTTGAAATGACAGCACAGGAAAATGTTTATTCATTTGAGTGTTATACTCCTGTTTGAGGATGTGGAAAAGCTATGGATTCCTTTCACCTAAAAGCACATATGCATGTACATGTGATGTAAAATTATATACACAATTTCAGAGAGTTCATGGACTTTCATGAAGCCCCTGCCTATTACTACAAGGTCACACAGCAGAAATGCTTGGCATACATGTTTTCATTTCTCTGGGTATACACGACTTCTAAATGAATGCTCACAGCAGCTTTATTCATGACAGCCAAAAGCAGAAGCAATCCAAATAGCCATCAAATGAGGAATGGATACATAAATGTTGTATACTCATATATAAGTATACCCATAAATAAAATATTATTTAGCAATAACAAGGAATGAAGCACTAATATGTACTAAAACATGGATGAAATTTGAAAACATTGTTAAGTGAAAGAAGGCAGTTATGAACAACCACCTTTTAAATGACTCCATTTATGGGAAATGTCCAGAATCAACAAATCCATAGAGAAAGTACATTAAGAAGCTAAGGAGGGGTTGGTAGGGATGGTAGGTGAACGTCTAAAGGGCATGGAGTTGCTTTTGGAAGTGATGAAATGCTCCAAAATTGACTGTGGTGACAGCTACCCAATTCTGTGAATACACTAAAAATCACTGAGCCATATACTCAAAATGGGTGAAGTGTATGGTATGTGAATTACATCACAACAAAACTGTTACCAAAGAAAGAATACATGGATGTATAAATATAATGTACAGAAGAGCTTACATTCTATGAGTATTTTATTGTAATCAGCTGAAATGACATAATAATTGAAGATTTTGATATAGATAATAAAAATGTATTTCCATATAAATATGCTGCTCTCATGTAGAACTATCTATGAAACATTAAAAGTATGGGTTATACTTTAATGATTGCCATTTCAACCAAAAATTCAAGAATTATTTCCATTTCAAATATACCAATATTTTAAGTTCTACAGTTTGAAAAATAATATAACCTTCAAGTGAGAAATATCATTACTAAATTAGTGGTTAATGTTCCTTACTTGTTGGTATTCTGGTTTTCTAAAAAGATGTTCTAAAGCTTGTTTTACGCGTTTAAATGTATCTAATTCTTTTGTTAATATTTCCTTCTGTTTAACAATCTTCTTCAAATCGGATGGAGAAAGATCAGCCTGACAAAATATAAGAACCACATACATTTTTAAGGCATAGCATTAAGACACTCTAAAATATAATGTCACTTACTATTATCAAAGAATACTTTTTCCTAATAACAAAACCATTCTTTTGAACATATTAATAGTAAACGCTGCCAAGTTTATTAATAGTAATAGAATCTGTTAAATGGTACATTAAAGTAAAATGAAATCAGTATAAGAGCTTAAGCCCTACAGTATTTCAGGCATTTATTTTAATAAAACTAATAGAATACAATCTGTTTTTTTGTCCTTACCTCAAACTTTAATACACTGAAATTTCAGAGATTTCTACTCCACAAAACATTATAGAAAATAGATATATTTCATTTTTCAGAATATTTTGGTTTTAAATTCGCCCTTGAGAAAAGCTGACTCACTCATTCAACTCCAGGTAAGTCAAGCACCAAGGTATACAGTTTCTAGCTTACCTTCTTATCAAATGCATGCCTGAAACTCTTTGAGGAAAAGTACTGTGGTATAAAGAACACTGGTAAGCCTGCATTTTCTAATATCAAATACCAGCACATACACACAACTATAAGATATGAAACCTCAGTTGGTGCAATCTGAGCATTATGCTAGATTTTCATTTTATTAACTATTCACAAGTCAAATACTCACATTTTCAAAACTAATTTCTTCAATGGTGTCCTTAAATAATGGTAAAAGTAATTCCACAGAACAGGTTGCCAACTCAGCTTCTTTAAATGTTGCTTCCAACTCAGTCTTTTCATTTAGGATGTCCTGCTTTACACTAATTGGAAATTCACAAACAAAATTTAAGTTAAATCTTTCAAATAAACCAGGGGTATTTTCACAAATACATATGACATAGCTTAACTAAGTATTATAGTTGTGTAAATTGCTCTGCGAAATGTATCAGTGAATTGTCACAGAAAATGTAATGGATTTTTCTACACTGCCATATTTTTTCCACATTTACTATAAACAGAAAGACAGTTTTTAAAATGGTAAGATATATAAAACACAGAGACCACCAACAGCAATGTTTTCACTGTGCCATTTGAAAATTATTCAACACCCCTTTCCTAGTTTGGAAAACGATTTGTGGGAGTGTTTGTCTTTTATTCTTCCCTTCCTTCTCCCTTAACTTTATTCCAAACCCAAAAGACTGGTCTTTCTAAACCTAATTCCTGAACCCTTCCTTAAAAGTTACTGCTCTTCACTAAGTATTCTACCAGGAGAATGAATAAATTAAAGAAATGGATAACAAAATCTAAAGCTCTCCAGATATCTAAAAATCCTTCACATTTAGCTTTATAAGAATTATCATTTCAAACAAAACTGTAGTATTTGCCTTATTTATTTATAATCTTTTACCTAGACACTACTGTGTATTGCTCTCAGACACTTTTTTTTTTTTTTTTTTTTTTTTTTTTGCGGGGGGCACATTTTTACATCCCAAAGTCAGGATACTTCTTCACAATCTTCCTCCACAGCTCAGGAGGAAGTCCTGAGCTGTTTCTCCTGCACCTGACCCAGACTTACAGAATGAGCGTCCAGTGCTTTGCTGAGTATCCCAGAGATGGGGTGCAACACTTCTTTAACCCCTAGGAAGGGTCATGGAGAGAGGCTGAAGGAGCTGGTGAAGTAGGAATGTATAGCAACATTCCAGAAGCAAGACTCCAATGTATGCTGCTGTATATTGTAATTAAGAACCCAACAGCAAGAAATTTTATTTCAGTTAAAGAAGCTCCAAAAAATGCCGTATCACCAATATTCTTAATAGCACAGACAACTTGAGTCAAAAAGTAACTCTGAAGAGTTGGACTTGAGTGCAGAGAAGTTTTGAGAACGCCTTAACGCATTTATTTTATTTATGTTTTATTTTTATATAGGTACATATTTGGAATAAAAATCTATGTATAATTAATGAGCTATTTTAATATTTATACATAAAATTCTGAATCTGCTTTTAACTGGCAGCTCTTTTCTTTCTTTATGGAACACATATAATGGCTCGTCAACATTTGATGGCATCTTAGAGGCTATGTCAAAAAGTAAATTGTATTCTTAAGCACCACTGGCTTAACTGATGGGCCTATGAAGATGCTGGCTATGAATAACAATTGCCTATTATTAAAAACCATGGGAAGAAAATCAAGAATAAGTATATATGACCAAACATCTTCATTTATAACAAAGTAAACTAGAAGTTGGACTATACCATCCATAGTAACAATAACAGTATTTTAAGATTGTCATTTTGGGGAGCAATGAGTCATATAAATAATGAGTATATTCCCCATTCTAAAAAAGCAAAGCATGGCAGGTATTTGTTAAGTAGCAATATACCAAGTGACAGTGAATTGGTACTCATTAACTATATATCCAATATTCTGTAATTTATATCTTAATTTACCTTAGTTAAAACACTTAATACTTTACAAGTTCTTAATAGGTAAGGTTTTCATTTTTAATTGCTTTCATTGAGATTCCAAAAAATTTAGCCAAAGTTTGCTATATAAGTATATTATAATCAGAAAAAAACAAATATGTTAATTACTAGACTTGAAGGAGATAGTTGAAAGAATGCTGTATTTGATTCAAACAATTTACAATATGGACAAAACATGAAACCCTGAAATCAGAAAATTAGACATCCCCCATTGCTGAGAATACCAGCTGAGATGGCTTTCACTGGCATGCTGTGATAAATGTTCTTTCTCTTGTCTACTTTTAAAATGGGAAAATAGTTCTTCTGAATGGTTTTCATCACTTGCAGGCTCCTCCATAAATCTGGTCAATGAATTATAGGTGGCTTCCACAAAAACTTCTCCACTTAAACTGAAAGTTAGGAAAGATTTTAGTTATTAAACTTATTGATTCATTACATTCTTTTTAATGTCATTACCTTATAATAAAAATCTAAAGATGTATAAACAAATAATATTTCACAAATTGAAACTCCTATCTGCTACTCATTGTGATGCTAATTCAAAATAGTATCAAACTGCATAGTGCAGACATTCGACAATTGCCAGGTTCCATACAATGTCCAAAAGGCCCACTATTTTCTATATTATCACAGAATGTAGAAGCTTTTATTAATCTATTTCTTGAAGTTTAGTAATACTTTAATCCAATCAGACTAGAAAATGGTTATAAGAAACATGGGTTAACTATGGTACTCAGTTTCATTAGATCCAGCCAAGAGGAAATGCATGTTATTTATGCCTAGAACAGGAGAAATTTAACATACTTTTGAAAGGACTTGATAATAATAGCTACAAAGAAGATAAGTTACTCCTTTCAAAGTCGACTTTTCAAAATTAAATTCATTTACTCCTATTTTCCAGCTCAATCTAGGATATTCTTTGGTGATAATGGATGGAAAGATGGCATTATTCCTAAGTGTTACTAATCTAACTGCTTCACTCAAACTTGGAGGTGTCATTTTTTAAATGTGAATATTTACAAATTTCTTTAAAGCTGTTCTAGTCTAAGTAATGCATATTTCAGCAACCATTAAAGCTGTGTTTCACAGCTATAATATATAATAATGTGTGTTCCTGGCTTCATTTTATGTTTATACAAAATCAAATGTTACATTTAAGATTTTCTGCATTTTTCAGAGATTGTTACCTCTTTGTAATTTATTTTTATATATCTGGGTTATAAAATACTATTTTCAAGAATTTTCATAATTTAGGTAGATGTAAATAGCTTGAAGGTTATTCACAATATTTAATTAATGATTCATAAACCTTCCAAAGTATTTGTAAAAATGGATCTATTTTTGTCTGAAAATTCTATGTAACACAGAGGCAAATATTTAGGATATAGGCCAAAGAAAAGTATGCTCATATTTTGGAAATACTAGCATCTCATATCAAATGAAACTGCTAAATAACATACAGATGGTCTAAAATAATCTATTAGAATGCTGTAAACATGCAACATTCATTGTTAGGGAATAACAATATTTGAGCTATCTACAGTTAAGAAGAATTAAAAATATACAGATACACAAAATCAAGAAAACCAAACCTAAGGGTGAAGAAGCATTTGCTCTAGATAAGTCACTGCAATCAAGAGAATTATTGTCTACTGATTTGTTCAGTTGCAACAGCTTCCCCACTCAGAGGGGAATAGGTATTTATCTTTCAGCCCATTCACTTGTTTAAATATTTGCTTCTCTGCATGCTGGAATCTCAAGAAAGAATGTCTTATTTATATTTGAATCCTCAGCACCTATAAGCCTTGTAAAAGTTGAGCAATAACTGAAGGAGAGGACTCAAGACTTACAGCAGTTAATGAATAGGATGAAAAAAGACTGTTTTTACTTATTAACCCTTTGATTCATCTTTTGGGGGATCATTAAAAGGAAAATGGTTTCCATATTTGGAATAAGACTTCAAAAGACAATGTAAGTGAATAGGGAGCTTCAATTTGTACAAAATATTTTATGAGATAAGATTCAGTTCGGTAGCAGTATTTTATATTAAGTTCTTATTTAGCTATGTTTTCTACTGACAGCTATTTACACAATATTCCTAAAAATTTTATCACAAGATAAAATCATGTAACATTTTTCTGCTTCATCACCTATAAAAGTAATTGTGCCTTATCTTAAAGGTTAAACATATAAAATTAACACAGTGTAAAAATACGGATTTTAGAATGACTTTAGCTCCACATTCTAAGAGTTTATCTTCATTACTGATTCTTCAAAATGTGAAATAGAGAACTGCATAAATGAAGTCTCAAATATTTCCACAGAAATAATCAACAACTGATTCTTACAATCTATAAATATTTTCCAGGATAAAAATTGTTCAGAGGTTCCAAGGCACTCCACTATTTTTGTGTTGTGACAATACTATAACCAAAAACATATGTGTGCTGAACAACAATGTAGTACTTTTCTTTAGCATAAAATGTTCTACCTTCATAAAATCACTTTAATGGACCAAATGTATTCTTGTATGGAAAAGCAGGCATTTCAAAAGAAAATGTTTTCAATTACATAGAATATACTGCCAATTGACAAAGTATAAATAATATTTGTACAACTTGCTAGTGGTAAAACAAAGACACACACTCTGTACACATATTTAATAATCAAATCCCTAACGATTAGCAATTTTAAAATATTTTTGATGTTCAAAGGATTCAATTTCCTACACAGAGATGACTTTACCAGTCTCCTACCAAAAAGGCATGTACTTGAAGCTTTTTCCAGGAGTGGTCATGGTTTACGCTGATCAAGCTACACTCACTAAACTACGTTCCACTTCGGCCAACGACAAGCGCTTGAGGGATGGCTGTTCAGGGACCACGATGTTGGCCATCGCCAGAGAAAAGAATGATCACAGTCCATGACCTTCCTTAGCACCTAGACTGTTCTAAGTAAACTAGAACAGCTGCAGACAAATATATATTTAAAACTAATCTCCTTGATGAGAAAAGTGTATTAATCTTGCAGGTTTCAATTATTTGTTGCCAAACCCTAATTCTTGGAAAATTAGCTTCCATTGGCTTTAAACAAGCACAAATCTTCTACAGGAAAAAAATTCACTATGAAATATTCAGCAGGGACACAAAATAGTTACAAGAATCCCACCCCTTTCTCTCACTATTCTAGACACTAGTCAAAAGGTTACTAGAGAAGTAACTGTATGGTTTTTTTGACTCCATAATGGAAAAAATGTATAGGAAACTTGAAAATAAGCAAAGAGTAACAAATAACCAAAGGCAGAAAATTGGTCTTATGAGTAAAAGCTATTATAAATGAAAAAAAAACATTTTCCAAAACAGCTTAACCTAGATACAGTCATGCACCACTTAGTGATGGGGATATGTTCTGAGAAATGTGTTGTTAGGCGATTTCATCATTGCACAAACATCATAGAATGTACTCACACAAACCTAGGTGGTACGGCCTATTGCTCCTAGGCTGCAAGCATGTTACTGTACAAAACAACACAAAATTCTATCGTGCACAGGAGGAATGATGTAATCTAGAAACATGGTAAACAGATGTATGAGGCTGCTGCTGGCATAACACAGCGTACTCTTTTACAGCGAACATTTGTTTATAAGTAGAAAGAGTACACTGTAAGATAAAGATGAAAAGTGTGGCACAGTGAATACATAATCCAATACCACAGTCATTTATTATCATATCATTATCAAGTATTATGTACTGTATATAATTGTATGTGTTACACTTTTAAGTGACTGGCAACACAGAAGGTTTGTTTCAACAGCATCATCACAAACACCTGAATACTGTGTCCTGACATTAGGGTGGCTATGACATCACTAGGTGCCAGAAATTTTTCAACTCCATTATAATCTCATGGGACCCTCACTGTTTATGCAGTCCAATGTTGACTGAAATGTCATTATATGGAGCAGGACCATAAATAACTAGCTAACTCCTCTACCCAAAGAATAAAGGAATTTAAATATAAAAAGTTGCAGATTAGATAATATAGGGAAGAAAGTTGACAGCAAGAATGACTGATTTGTAAACACTGGATTTGTACTTCAAGCCCCAGTCTGTCTCTCTTTCTTCCCAAAATACTTCCCTGACTGTTCCAGACCACCAAGAATCCTAAACATCGAATAGCATTTTCAGAATCATATAGTTTAGAATGTAATCGCTCCATAATGCTCATATTTTTATTGTCTTTTAACTTGCTACTAAATCTGTGGGAGCAAAAATCATACCCATCATTCTCTGCCCTCAAAAATGACCTGACACAGTGAAGAGCATAGGTTAGGCTCTGAAATATATTTGGTGATCAAATAGCTTATTATTCAAACTGAGACACTTTTGAAAAGAAAGGGGCCCCATATAATGCCCAATTATCCAGAAGACGATTGGCCCGAAGTTGTTCAGAATATTGTCTAATTCCAAGTAAAGTCAGCATCCTTTATCAGATAAACCTAAAGCATTTTCCATCCCTTCAACATGAGGACAATTGCTGTCCTTTATTAATGGAGCACTGAGTGACCTGTACACATCATCTCACAAAAATGCTTACCAGGTATTAATATTCAAAAGCTACAGATGAAAACACCAAGTTTTAGAAAAGGTAAATAGCTTGCCCAATATTACAAGTAAGGAAGTAGAAGAGCTCAGTTTTGAACCAAAAGCCATAAAATACTAAAACATAAATAAATATAAGAATCTATACAGCAGAAAATAACATACAAACTTGCCTTAATCCAGTTGGGTTTCAACAACACTATTATAAATTCAGTTTATATTTAAAAACAAAAAATGTTCCATACAAGCAGATAGTAAGATCACACTCCTTGGAGGCAGAGACTACAAGTCTAAAGAGCGTACAGGCAGGGAGCAGACCATTAAAATCCAGTGTGCTACAGGCTGTGACAGGGTTCTCATGGGGTGCCAGGGAGCGCATAGGAGGGTACCTAACACCAACTGGCAGGATCCTGGAAGACTTCCCAGAGGAGGTGGAATCTCGGTCAAGTCCTGCTGAACAAGTATAAGCTTGGCAAGAGAGCAAAAGTCATTCCAGGTAAAGGATAAAGTAGCAGCAAGAGCAAGGAATCATGAGGGAACATGAATTGCAAAGATGAGACTGGACAGACTGAAAACAGTAACTGTATGCCCAATCCAAGAGCTTGTATTTTTTCCTACAGGTTAAGACAAACCATTAAATAATTTTAAGCAGAGGAATGACAGATCAGAAGTGCATCCTTAAAGACAAATCAAGTGGTATTTTGGAATATGGACTAGGCATATGGAGGGAAGGAA